GCTGGCGGAGGGCTTCCTCCTCCCCCAGCCCCGCAAGCTCCCATGGCTCTGGGTCCCGTTCTGGGGGAGGGGGAAGCTCGGGCTTCCCCCGCCCCAGCCCCACGCCTGGTGGTGGGGGAATAATTTTTTTCCCCTTTATTCCCCCCCCCCCGCCAATTTTTCCCGCGGCACACCAGGCAACGTATCGCGGCACACTAGTGTGCCGCGGAACACCGGTTGGGAAACACTGGTCTAAACCACAGAGCCTAGGGCTTGCCGATCAGAAGGCTGGCGGTTCGAATCCCCGCAACAGGGTGAGCTCCCGTTGCTCAGTCCCTGCTCCTGTCAACCTAGCAGTTTGAAAGCACGTCAAAGGGCAAGTAGATAAATAGGTATTGCTCCGGTGGGAAGGTAAACGGTGTTTCCATGTGCTGCTCTGGTTCGCCAGAAGCGGCTTAGTCATGCTGGCCACATGACCCGGAAGCTGTACGCCAGCTCCCTCGGCCAATAAAGCGAGATGAGCGCCACAACCCCAGAGTTGTCTGCGACTGGATCTAATGGTCAGGGGTCCCTTTACCTTTACTGTAACAGCCACAAGCCTTTTTGAATGAAAAGATTTAACATATCTTCCATAAAGTTCCATAAGAAAGAAATGCACATGGAAGATGTAGTGTCTGTATCTTCTACTGTGCTGGAACATGGTTTGAGGTTATTTCTCTGTGCCATCTTAAACTGAATATAATATTTGAGTATTGCTTAAGTTCAAGATTTCCTGCACACATATCTAAAGTAGATCCTATATTAATTACTTTTACTGCAAAGGATATCTTCCAGGGCAATCTTAGTGATCCTTTCCTACCATCTAGTGTTGCAAATATGTATTAATTTAAGTTGCATTATTTTACTACATGTGATTCGAAACTTCTTCACCTGCAGACTTCATTGCTTTTGATGCAGTTAGGAATTGAATCACATGCTCTCTCTGCTTTTGCAAGTAAACAACAGTGGGTAGCTCACAGCTACTAAAAATTTTAAATTACCTAAATAAAAAAATTTTAAAAATTCAGAAAACAAACAAATATTAAGGCAGTAGAAGCATGACAAAAAGCACGGTAGAACACAGCAGGTAAAACAAGCAGACCAAATAAATAAATAAAGGCGGATAACACATCAGCAGGCAAATAGGGCAAAGGCCTGCTAAAACTGCACGGTCTTAAAATAGAGCCTAAAGTGTATTAAAGAGGTCTGTGGAAAGGGTATACTGGGCATTGCCACAGAAAATGCCTTCTCAAATATCCTGACTTCCAACCAACTGTATGTCTGGTAGAATGAGCCTCCTTCAATGATTCATGACCCCAACTTCACTGCAGATTTGAAAAGCATTTCTCATATTCTGCAGAAAACCTAAAATAATAGCCAAAGCTATGCTAGTAACACATATCACATAAAATGCACCACAGTGCCTGTCATGGTCTCCCTCTTGGACACAGATCCCAGGACAACACTAGTTTTCTGCTGTTAGCTGAAGCATACATGAAGCAAGCCTGAGAGCACATACCTCAAAATGCAGAAGAAGATCTTCAGCCAGTTAAATAAGACTGCAAATGTTGTGATCATCTACTATGGCCAAGCAAAGAGTTCTAGAGCTCTTTTTAAATGGACAAGGGAATTTTAAAAAACACACAACCCCTCCTTCATCCCATCACAACAGCAACATAGATCATTATTATTTTCATGCTATACTTGAGGACGATCCATTTTCACCTTGTCTAGCTGCTCACCAAACAGGAAAATAGGCACACATATAAGGATCCTTGAAAGGGCATATTCCTTGCATCTTAGGCAGGGCTGTTCTTAGGCAGTGATTGCATCAGATGGAGTGTCAGTCTTTCTCTGCTTTAATTTTTAGTGAGGTATTTGGGTACATGGGGCTGCAAAAGTATTTGAAAGAGCGTGCACAGTGTTTGGTGAAATCTCAGAAGCCAGAATTTCCAGCAATAAATATCCTGAATATCTCTTTAATCTTTCCCATTAACAGCATGAATAGAACAAATTGTGCAAATTTCCTTAGTTGTGTTTTTGAAAGAAAGAAAAGGCACAAAGAGTGAAATACCATGAACTGAGTAACTCTTGCTAGAAGAGTGGTTCTTAAAAATAAAAAACAGTCAGAATGAAAGAACTTAAAGAACGAAAAGTAAGATCTGAACTGGCCCCACCCTGCTCAAAAGCAGAGCAAACACTTGTACATGATTGATGGGAATTCCTTTCCACCCTTGCTGCACATATGTGGGATTGTTACATGTCACATGTCTGTTTACATTCCAGAACAGATTGCTGGAGTCCCATGAGCGGAACATGTATTGCTTTTGTTTTGTGGTGTAGTGGTTAAGAGCGGTAGTCACGTAATCTGGGGAACCGGGTTTGCGTCTCCGCTCCTCCACATGCAGCTGCTGGGTGACCTTGGGCCAGTCACACTTCTTTGAAGTCTCTCAGCCCCACTCACCTGACAGAGTGTTTGTTGTGGGGGAGGAAGGGAAAGGAGAATGTTAGCTGCTTTGAGACTCCTGAAGGGGAGTGAAAGGCAGGATATCAAATCCAAACTCTTCTTCTTCTTCTCTGAGAAGAACGACAAGGAGAGAGGCCATGTTTTTCTTTGTCCTGATTTATGTATAATAAATGCGTAGTTTAGTATAGTATCCACGCCTCGAGCCTGATCTGTTGTGTGTTTACGCTGCTGAGTAATGTGTGCTCTTGCATGCACGGCAGCATGAGTCATGGACACACGTCAGAGGTGGATGGCTGATGGATCTCCGCAGCGGCAAGGCTGAGAAGGGAGACATTCTGGCTAGGGCCAAGCCAGCTGGCTTTCCATCCCATGGTTCCGACAATGATATCATGAAAGAGCCAGTAAAACTAATATACTAAGAACAATAACCCCCACATACAGCGTTCAAAAGACCATAGGTGGTATAATTAGCCAAAGGCCTGGGAGAAGAGGAATGTTTCTGTCTGGAGCGTAAATGTAGCAAAGGTTCCAGGTGAGCCTCCCTGGGGAGAACATTCCACAAATGGGGAGCCACCACTGAAAAGGCCCTATCTTATGTTGCCACCCTCTGGACCTCTCACCGAGGAGTTACGCAAAGAAGGGCCTCGGGATGACGACTGCAGGATCCAGGTCAGGCAGTCCTTGAGGTATTACAGTCCTGACTCATTTTAGGCTTTATTGATCAAAAACCAGCACTTAGATTTGGGCCTGGAAACTAACTTGCAGCCAGTGCAGTCGGGCCACGATTGGCATTATATGCTCAAACCATCTTGCCCCGGTCCACTACCAAGGCAAGACAAGTCCAGCGCATCCACTGCCACACCTGTAAAGAAGAAGCAGAGCTGTGTGCCATCAGCATACTGCTGACAATGTACTCCAGATGACCCCAGAATGGCGAGGGGAGCATGCAAGGTCAATGCAGGAACACACAGGAGGAGCCCAGGGTTTCCCATTCTTTCCAAATTGGCTCTGTGAGTCCCTTCTTACATGGCTGGCCAATGGAATCTGCTTGAATGGCCTGTTTATAGGGACTAGATACAGAGCTGTGCCCCTGGGCTATCCATCCTCACATGGGTCCTTACCTATTCCTGACAGTAGTGCCAGTTTCAAGCTGCCCCGCCCATGTTGCAGAGACATATTATGTATTCAGGATAGCACCTGAGGTAAGATGCAAAGATGAAAGTGAATGTGGATGACAGGTTTGATGAAGGAGTAGCATGGATGGAAGGCAAATGCATTTTCCAGTAGCAGGTTTTTAAAAGTGAGAGCTGCCTTGCTGTACAGAAAAGGGGGGGGACTGTGACACTCCCAAGGAGAATAATGAAAGAATGCACAAAGGGGAAGAAGAGAACAAGAGGGATGGAAGAAATCAAGCAATTTTTGCATCTCCACATTGATTGTAATACTGCAGGATATATCAGATACAGCGCTATAATGTGAAGAAGAACAAAGAGATAAAGCATACAGAGAAACAGTCGGTTCCCCAAATGTTTGGATGGAAATGAAACATTTCGCACAACAAGGTGAAAATCCTTTAATAAAAAGCTTTCTATAAACAGCGGGCAGAACCAGCCTCATATTATATCTGCAGCCTCTAAGACTAGCCTACCTGGGTCTTCTGTATTAATAGTGATGTTTTTGTATTATTATTTTTTACTTTAATTTATTGACACAGAACCTAACACCTCTTTGATCTCTGCTTTGATCACAGGTGTAATTTGGAAGTAATCAATGACTATGAAACAGGGAAGAAAAATGGAAATTGTAATTGCAATAAAGCTGAATATCTTATTATCAGATAAAACATACGCCCAAATGGCCGAAAATGAAACACGCAGAGGAAAATTGTTACAAAAGAGCGAAAGAGATTTGCTGTGCATTATTTGGCAATGTAATTAATTTTCATGGCCTTTCTTGCTGGCTGCCCTATACAGCCTTACCAGCAGCTTCCTTCCTTTAGACTCCTGAGCCCTGTTGTCATGAAGTTGTGCCTGTGGCAGCTAGTTGCTTGCATTAATCTCAAACAGGAAGGGACTGTTCTTACTCCTGGGAGAAAGTAGTGGAAGGGGGCTTCCAGCCTATTGCTATTTTCAGGTGGGATTCAATCACATAGCAGCAAATTCAGGCTGCACAACTGAAGTTGGATTTGAGGTTTTGTGCCTCCCCAAAAGAGTTGACTTATTGCAATAAGGAAAGACATGCCATGCAACTTCTCCACAAACAAATAGGAATGCATGCTGAAGAAACAGGTTGTCTGGAAGTGACCTGATAATTAACTGGACTGCAACTGGTCCTCCTTCAACAGAAAGGGCAGAAGAGGTTTCTGAATTCTGGGGAAGCAATGCAGCTCATTCCAAGCCTACCTGACATGGCTGGAGTAAAATGTTTCTCTCAATGCTCTGCAAAAACTGGACCCCTTTATACCAATGAATCGATATATCCACATGCTATCTAACATTTCTGTTCTGTACAGTACCTCTGTGTAATAGCTTCTCTAGGACAATTCTCAAGTGCTGGAGGATGAGCGGTGAAACTTCATACTTGTACACGTCTATCACTGGCACCTGTTGACATCTCCCAAATACTCCATCTGGAGAAGGTAAAAAAAGGGGTGGGGCATAAGGAAAAAGGGGTGAATAAATCACATTGATCTATGACATATCTACATACACTAAGAAATTTGCAATATGTTCTGTTACTATGACAGTTGTACTAAACGTGGTAATGAGAAAGAGATAGTTCCTTGGTCACCTTCCCTTAAAAACTGCTTCACTTTTTGATACATCCTTTCTGGTAATGCCAAAGCAAATAAATAAAGCAATAACTCTCATGAAAACCAGACTGCCCAGGAAACATGTATGTTAGTTTGCAGAGAGAGGGTTTCTTTTTCCCCTCCCTCCTTTTAATACAGGAGCTATGTAGTAGTAACTGAGTGGTGAATTGATAATAAGCAGCCAAGGCTAGTTTAATGTAGTACCCTCTAATAATGAATGCAATAAAAGGGAGCGGCTCATGCAACAATGAGATATTAATGGAACCTAATTTATTTAGCTCCATTCCATTCATCTAAAATGACAGACCCTTCTCATCAAGCTCTTTTCATATCACACCTTCTAATTAATTTAGGTCCTAATTAGTCTTTATTTAGAGAATTGTTCATTTCAAGACAAGCTTCCTGTGTGGGAAGAAGAAGATAGGCAGAGGAGGGGGAGTTCAAACATTCAAATTACCTTTCTCCCTTCCATACAAAAGACTAATTTAGAACTCGGGTGCTTATAATATCCTCTGACCATCTGCAGCGCTAGGCTTCAAAAAAATGGGTGCATTTATTGTTGTCTTCACCTGTACACAGTGATCCACAGAAAACTATTGAAAATGCAAAAAGTTTAATTAGCATGCTATTCTTCATACTGCTTGTTTTAATTCAGTAATTACTGCAGATATTGCATTCATAATCAAAAGGGACAGTGCAATTTGACTAATAGAACATAACATTGTGAATTAATTTGGAAGTACCTATTTATTTATATGGAGCTTCAACAAGATGAAAGAGTAGATAGAGGGGGAAACAGCTGCTCTCAACATTCAAACAGTCCGTCTATGGTATTATAGAGTACACACCTATATCAAAGTCATTTAATTTACATTATAAACTGGAATATTAACCTAGATTTGAAGAGATGCAGTTAAAATGTTTTTTTTAAAAAACTCTGCAGATTTTCAAGTGTGATTTCTTCCTAACAGTTTGAGCAACGATTACTCCACACAAAAGATTTCTGCCACACCACCATATATTTTGAGTTAGCTTGGGTTTCATATTTCTCCATCCTACAAAATACTGAGTTCTGAAGCTATGGATAGCTTCTAAAGTGATACACAAACGTGTGGTGATGTTTTCCTTCCTGGCGAATGCATGCTTGCTGTATTCTCTACACACTCTTACAACAAAGCAAGCTGGTCTGATGAAATGCTTTATCTATTTTGTGTTTCTCATCCTCGGAGATAAGCCTAGCAACTGCCTTTAAGTAGCTACAAAACAGCACGGTTGTTCAGAGTATCCCAACCCAACCCGTTTTTGTTTTCAGATGTTCATTCAATGCATGTGAGGAGCAGGGCTGCACATGCCATTCCCACCCTCCATCTATGCGCATTCCCGGAGAGCTTGGAGAGACCTTGGGGAAGATCTGTGGCTTAATGGTGGTACAGCATCTGCTTCACATGCAAAAAGGTCCGGTTTCAATCCCTGGCAGCTCCAGGTAGCGTTGGGAATGTCCCCATTCTGAAACTGGCCACTACCTGAGTGTAGACCCAGGGTCCCCAAACTATGGTGCATGGACCATCAATGGTCTGAAGAACACTTACAATTTGAATTCTATAGAATGCTATGGTGTTCAAATTTTGATACAGCACAATACAATGCAATCTGAGAAATGGCTTCTCATCTCTGACAGTAGTCAAAGAGAATGCTGACTTCATGAGGAAGAAATCCTCTTAGGTTAAACTTTGAGAGCCGTTTTAATGTTAAAATTTTGTTTCTCTGGGATCAGCAATATGAAACCAGGCATGAGTGCATCTTCAAGATCTGGTCATAAGAACATTGGGTGTCTTAAACAGAATATTGTTCTGGTGAAGATCGTCAGTTGCTAAGAAGCATGTGTTGAGCATCAGAAAGCACTCACATGTGACTCAAAGAACAAAACTGAAAGATTACCGTATATAGGAAGGATCTAAATGGCAATAATTTCTCTTTCCCCCCCACGTCCTCTCCATCTCTACCTGAAAGGAAGAAGCTATAGTTTGGGTTTGCAAAATGATTCCTTAATGAGGAGAAAAAAGAGGACTATAGAGTCTCTGGATAATAAAATGCTTGATAAGAAAATCAGTTTTAGGGCTTGCCGATCAGAAGGTCAGCGGTTTGAATCCCCGTGATGGGGTGAGCTCCCGTTGCTCGGTCCCAGCTCCTGCCAACCTAGCAGTTCGAAAGCACGTCAAAGTGCAAGTAGATAAATAGGTACCGCTCTGGTGGGGAGGTATACGGCGTTTCCGTGCGCAGCTCTGGTTCACCAGAAATGACTTAGTCATGCTGGCCACATGACCCAGAAGCTGTATGCCGGCTCCCTCGGCCAATAAATCGAGATGAGAGCCGCAACCCCAGAGTCGTCCGCGACTGGACCTAATGGTCAGGGCTACCTTTACCTTTAACTCCACTTAAGAGAACACTATTTTTGCTTATCTTCTTCCCTGATACAGCGTCTACTGCGGCACTTGCTAAGTTGATTTCTTCAGACATCTTTCTCTGTGTCTGAAAAGGTTCTAGCTACACTCATACAGCTTTCCGGGCTTGTGAGAACTCATTACAATTCAAAGGAGTAAGTTCTAGTTTTATGCATTGAAGGATCTGTTTTAACATTTGCTTTACCAGCATGCCCCCCCCCCCCCGGAGCTGTTCTTCAGTTTAAAAATAAAGACAGATCCACTATGGAACCATGGGCTGCATCTGCCTACTCCAGAAGCCAAACTGCACCACATCATAAGGACACTATTCTGCAAAAAGAACACCAGCCTACTTTTTTATGTGATATGATATCTCACAAAGCCAAAGACAGTTGCTCTGGTGCACGGGTGGAGAATCTCAGGCCAGGGTGTGTGTCAATTGTGGCTATCCAGGCCTCTCTATCTTCCCAGGGCACATTTCTTCCTAATCCGGCCTCATATATCCAGGCTTCACCCCTCAATAGCCCTGGTTCTGTACCCTCTTCAAGTCCTTTTGCCTGCCTGGAAGATGTGCTTGAACTGTGGTAATGCCTCAGGTTTCCCTGCCTGGAGAAAAGAGGTGAGTGTAGAAACCTCTCACTTTTGCTGTACAAACATAACAGCCTCACCTGTTGCTCCTCCCATTTTTGCCTCCGGCCCAGCGCACCACAGGCGTGTGGCCTCTGAAAGGTTGCCCGTGAGGGAATGTGGCCCCTGGTCTGCGATGGGGCTCCACCCATCCTCTAATGTAAATGTCTCTCTCCCTTTTAAGGGATCCCATAAATTCTACGCAAAGCTGAAAGTGAGATTAAGGTACCTGAAGTCATTCCTAAAATTGTGGGATTTGAGGATAAGTTCTATGCCATAGCCCTTGACACACTTCTTTTCGTGTTCCTTAAATTGGCTGACTTGAAATTGCATTCAGTGACCTTTAAATGGAAGGGCAATGACGTCTGCTTCTAATAATGCACTTGCCACACTGAAGCACCTAAAACACAATTACTGTATGCATTTGAGCTCCCTACATTATCGGTAGGCAAACTAAGGCCCGCAGGCCAGATCAGGCCCAATTGCCTTCTGGATCCAGCCCACGGACGGTCCGGGAATTGCCACGTGGATCGCCAGTGTGCACGTTCTTTCCCTCTCCCTCAGACGGCAGAAGCAACAGCACCTCCTCCCTCCCTCCTCCCTGCCCTGCCTAGAGGAGGAAGGGGGCTGGGCTTTATTGGTCCCAGCAGCAGCAGCGCTTGAGCCGCCGCCATTTTAAGCAGCCCTTCCCTGGAGCCCTTTTGTGCACTGCTCATTGTCCCTCCACCTCCGCCAGCCCCTGCCGCTTGCAAGACACAGGTAAGCAGCCACTGGGGCTCATGGTACTCTTGCATCATCCCCCCCCGAAATATAGTCTGGCCCCCCGCAAGGTCTGGGGGACAGTGGACTGGCCCCCTACTGAAAAAGTTTGCTGACCCCTGCCCTACATGGATTAGCCTTCACCGCAAGTTTTTAACCATTGGACTTGGCACAGTGTGAGGAGGGGGCAAGGCTATGATCTTAAGCCATAGCTGTCAATTTTTCCCTTTTCTTGTGAGGAATCCTATTCGGAATAAGGGAATTTCCCTTAAAAAAAGGGAAACATTGACAGCTATGTCTTAAGCCAGAATGGCTTCCTGCACAGAGCAACCTCCATGGCAGCCAGTTTCAAAGAATTGGTCACCAATATGTCTAATATACTAATATTTTCTTGGACGGTCTGAGTAACTCAAAACCAGGTTAGTTGACTGTGGTTCCTCTCTAAGCTCATTCAAACAACCCTTGAGTGTGTTATTCTCCCTTTAAATAAGAGAAGAGGCACCTCCAGCTCTTGAAATGATGTTGGTCTTAAACTCCCATCAGTCCCTGGAAAGAAGAGAGTTGAAAGACCACAGGTTCCCCATCCCTGCTGTAAATGAACACAAGAAGCTGGGGGAATCTAGTCCAGCTCTGCTCAGCACAGGATTGCAGTTTCCTCATGGGAAACTGTTCCAGCAATGGCTCCTCCCTTGGCTCAGATTGTGATTGGGTGTGCAAACTCCAAAAATAGAATGAATGGCAGTTGTACCCAAAGGTGAAGCTCGTGGAAGGGGCTTTGCTCAACAAGTTCGCTACAAGCAAACTGTAATCTGGCCCAATAAGGAAAGCCAGAGTCATGCTTAATACTCCATATAAAAAGAATAATTTTTCACCAGTATCCAAGTTTGTCATTTTTTTTTAAAGTTTGTATATAACCTTCATTAATCTTGACAGGAGTTCCTCCACAAAGCCCTACGTACAAGTTCTTCACTCATTCAAAATTGCACATGG